TAAGAATAAACTACACATTTATTATAATATATGTAATTTGATCATGTAATTATTTATGTTTGATTAATTCATTTTTTTGCATACATACTTATAATATTAGCTAAACGAGTTAGATCATTGACGTTGGTACAAATTAGTTTCACAATATGCCAATGTCACCTATGAAGTTGAGATATTCAAATATGGTAAACCCATACTAAAAAATAAAATAAAATAAAATAAAAAAATAAAAAATGGTGATTTTGATTGTTTCATATAAGGAATTGGTTTAAAAATAAGAAGGGTAATTTTGATTTTTTAATTCAAAATATGATGTCACATTTCATCTTATTTACTAATGGTAGGCTAGGCTACAAGAAGTATTGTTTTAAAAATCAGATGTTATGTGATGGTGGTTCGTAATGACTTTTGACGCATTTGAGTCATATTCAATCCGATCTTGTGGTGAGATCAGATCTGGTGAGTGTATCGGCTTGTTTCCGTTATGTATCAGAAAGTAATCTTTATGGTAAATTGTTACATCCATCTACATACTGTTAATGATTTTTAAAATTTAACGATCATGACACTCAATTTTGATACATATCGACCGATACTCACGAAATTGATATTTCACAATTGATTACGTATTCTGATATTGCGATTTAGACCTATGATAACAAAAGAAATCTATTGAACGGTCCGAAAATATCATATGACGTAGCTTACATGCTACTCTTAACAAATAAGAAATTGGAATCCATACTAAGTGAGTAATTCATTGTCTTTCAACTTCTTAACAAAAATAGTTGTTATGTCTTGTAAAATTTTCAATTAGGTAATTGGTTTGAAGACCATATAAGTAATGACACATGGTGAGTGGTATTCCAAGACTATTGAATAATTATCCAACTTAAGTGTACAAAAACATATACAGAGATTGGAATAATTGTAATATTCCAACAATTTGGGGCTATCTATGGTGTGCACGTTTATTAGGGCAGGTCATTGTAATTTTCCATTTTATTTTTGGGTGATTCTACTTACACCACTACTTTATCTCTTTACACTCTTCATATGAGTTTTTTTCCCCGTCTTTGCAAATTACACACCACTAAGTGATCACTATCGCTCTGACGTTTCACGTGAGGAAGTTCTTGTCAATCAATGGTTCTCAACGGAGGATGGATTCCAGTGGTGAAGCAAAGAGGGAAGCAAGAAGCAATGAAATCAGTGGGTAGTGTAGTAGTCTTCACGGTGTTTGTGGATAATCTACCTAACTCAATGAATACCAAAGGCTTGTCTAACCTGTTTGGAAAGTTTGGAGTTGTAAAAGATATTTTCATTCCACAAAAGTGTCGCAGGAAGACCAATACTAGATTTGGTTTTGTAAGATATAGCTGTGAGGTAGTTGCAAATGTTGCGGTGCAGAAGGCGGATGGCCTATGGGTGGATGATAAGAAGTTATTCGTGAAACTTGCAGCTTTCGATCGAAGCAGAGAACAGGGGAAGTACCATGCCCAAAATCCACCGCAGTTACATTTCAGAGAGGAACTCTGGAGAGGCTCACATCACTTCTCCAACAACAAAACGTTCGCAGACGTGGTAAGAGGTATTCAGACACAGGACAGAGACTCTATTTCAGTTCAGGCCGAGGAGTATGGTAATGGGTGGCTTTACGACAGTGTCTTAGTCCGGCTAAAAGTCAGATGTATAAACATTAGTTTGAGCCTCGAGCTTAATGCTAGAGGAATAGATGGGTTTGAAGCCAGACAAGGAGGTGGTCGTGATGTGGTGTTATCTTTCAAGTCCAAGGAGGAAATGGTAACAAAGATGAACTCTATCAAAGAAATTATCCATGAATGGTGTGATGACATCATACAATGGAGGCCAGAACTTGCTCTGGTCCAGGAGAGACTTGTATGGCTCACTTGCTATGGCATTCCCTTACATTTATGGAATAGGTCCAATCTTGTTAAAATTGGTAGCATAGGGGGTGAAGTTATTGATGGTGCTGAATGCTTGCCTCAGTCCTTCGTATGTGGCAAGCTTAGGGTCCTTACCAAGTGCATGGATCCTGTTAACAGTGTTATCAACCTGGTGACTAAACACTCTTCTTATCCAGTGAGAGTCTTGGAAGTTCAGGGCCTTGAAGCAAAAACCATAAATCAGTGCTGCAGCTGTTTGAATCATCTAGATAAGATGAAGGAACTCAATTCAGAGGAGAAAGGTGAGGATCATGGTTCCAACCGGGTGGGTAAGCCACTACAGAACCTCAGAGATGAGTCAACTCAACCCAGAGAAGGTGGGTCAACTCAGGGTGCTGAGCAATTCAAAAATGAGGCCAGTCGAGTGTTGACACGTGGGGATGGCAGTATAATAGAGGCAAATTGGAAGAGTGACACGGAAGTGGCTGAGTCTAGTAGCATAGTAGGCAAGGAGCTCGAGGTTGAAGCATGCAAGGAAAAGGTGGCAGGTAGCAGTGCATTAAATGCCTTACAACCAGCTGAACAAGATAATGATGGGCATGTCTTCTCGCCTGGGTGTATGAGAAGATTGAGTGGTTCTAGTCTAAATTTACATGGGTCGAACTCCAAAGTGGAGTTGGGCCAAAAAAATTTAAATGAAGAGGACTTGGGCCAAAACATTTTAAACCATGGGTTGCATGGGCCGATTGATTTGGGAAAGGCAGTTTTTTCTGAGAATGCCTGCCCAGTTGAGGAAGTGGGAAATTTTGATGATGAGATTAGCAGCAGTGAAGATGAAGGTGTAGTGGCCCAACCTGTTGTAGCTTCTTGCGCCAATAATGTTAAGACCCAGGGGAAGGAAATTAGTAGGCCAAGATCAGAGAAGGAGATGGCTATTAATGTAGGTCCTCAAGGTAGATTCTGAAAAAGTAAAGGAAAACCGGGGGCTCAATTAAGAAAATCTTAGCAGTGCTATGATCAGGTGTACATGCCTGGGTATATGAGAAGTTTAAGTGAGTCTAGCATGGCTAAGCCTGGGCTGAATTTGGAAGTGGTGTTGGGCCGTATTAAGGGGTCTACTGACCAGGTTATCCACACAGGAGTGAGCCCATCAGCCCTGTTGAACAAGGGACTGAACAAGTCAGGGAGGAAGGAAGGTAATAACAATCGGAACCGTAACGGGAAAGTCTCAACAAGGAATGAACATGGAGAGCTGCAGAGAGATTCTATTAATCATGGGGAAAAAGCCCAACTAAAGGCTACTATTGAAGCCATAGTCGAACCAGGAGTGGATCCCTCAATCCCTGCGCAACCACCAGAAAATGGAAGAGACAAAGGAAAGAAAGTGGCTGTGGATGGTCAAGTTTCGGGTACTAAAAGAAAGGGGCAAAGCCAAAGAAGAATAAGGAAATTGCGTTCTACTCATCAATTCTGCCAAGGATTTCACAGAGGAGCTATATTCAGAGCTGCGGCAGCTGTGATGTCTTCATCTCTGTCAATCAGTAGTGGGGCTTATAAACAGATTTTAAGCCGAAATGAAGCTCAAGAAACCGTGAAGGTGGGGAAAGTTTTGGGTATTGACTTTGGGGCTAATGAAGAGAGTGTTATCCAGAAAATTTTGGAGATGGACAGGCAAGATGAGGAAAGACTAACCAAAAAAGGAGTGAATGGTGGTGCTTAAGTCTGCACCTGTTGGGGATTTTGTAGTCAAAGTTTGTTCCATAATGAAAGTTCTTTCATGGAATGTTAGAGGCTTGGGTAAGCCTGAGAAAAGGAGGAGGATCAGAAATCTCTTAAAGGCAAAAGGGGTGGATATGGTGTTCATTCAAGAAACTAAAAAGTCAAGTATTGATGAAAGATTTGTCAGATCTCTATGGGCAGAAGATGAACTGGGGTATATGGAGGTGGATGCAGTAGGGAGTGCAGGGGGTTTGTTATGTCTATGGAAACCTCATGTGTTTCAGGTGAAGAATTGTTGCAGTTCTAGGAATTTTATTCTGCTATCAGGTCTGGTTTATCATAGTTTTGATTGTGTTGTTGGTAATGTCTATGCCCCTAATGATTATAGAGGTAGAAGTCAACTGTGGAAGGTCCTTTATAACCTGAAAGCATCCTTTCCAAAACCTTGGTGTTTAGGGGGGGATTTTAATGAAATTAAAGCTATTGGAGAAAGGAAAGGCTGTGTGAGAAGAGATAGGGGGATGCAGGAGTTCAATGAATTTTTAAATAATATTGAATTGGTTGATGTTCCTATGCTTGGTAGGAAATATACATGGAGTAATTCACAGTCAGGTGCATGCTGGAGTAGGATCGATAGGTTCCTACTAAATCCGGAATGGCTTGTGTGGTTTAACTTTAAGTTATGGGGCCTGCCTAGAATACTGTCTGACCACTGCCCAATTTTATTGAAGGAAGATGATAGGGATTGGGGTCCCAAACCATTCAAATTCTTAAATGCCTGGGTGCTACATCCCAGCTTTCTTAAAGAAGTTGAAAAGGTTTGGGTTGGCACACAAGTGGAAGGGTGGGCTGGATTCAGAATTATGGTGAAATTGAGAACACTTAAACAAGCACTAAAGATTTGGAATGTGGAGGTATTCGGGCATGTGGAGTCCAAGCTCCAAGAAGCTGAGGCTGAGCTACATTCGTGGGATCTAACAGCTGAAGAGAGAAATCTTGTAGAAGTTGAAGTTAGACAAAAAATTGAGATCAGAAATGAAGTGTGGAAGCTTAGAAAAAGGCTAGAGTGGCTATGGCTGCAGAAATCCAGACTGAATTGGTCCTTAAAAGGGGACAAAAACACCAGATATTTCCATATTATGGCATCAAGAAGGCATAGTAAGAACGTCCTTGATTCACTGAAGATTAATGGTACCCTATATGAGGATCCTGCGGAGTTGAAACAAGCAGTGGCATCAAAACCAGATTCAATCTTGTTTGGTGAAGGAGTTCTCAAGAACAGAGGTTTGGGCAGCAATCAAGGAATGCGATGGCAATAAGGCCCCGGGGCCTGATGGTTTTAATCTCATTTGCTTCCAAAAGGGATGGAAATTTATGAAGGATGATATTATGAAATTCATGCAAGAGTTTCATGATAATGGTGTATTGGGTAATGGAATCAATTGTTCTTTTGTGACCCTCGTTCCCAAGATAGTTAGTCCAGAAGCAATTACAGACTTTAGACCTATCAGCCTAATCAGTTCAGTCTATAAAGTGGTGGCTAAAGTTTTGGCCAACAGGTTGAAATTAGTGTTGCCAAAAATCATTGATAGAGTCCAATCAGCATTCTTAAGTGGTAGGAATATCATGGATGGTGTTCTTGTTGCAAATGAGATTGTGGACTGGTGGAAGAAGACTAACAGAAAGGGGCTAATCATTAAGTTGGATTTCGAAAAAGCCTATGACACTGTTAACTGGAATTTCCTTCTTCAAATGTTAGAGAATTTTGGTTTTGGACCTACCTGGACCAAATGGATAAAGGAATGCATTTCTTCTGCTAGAGTGTCAATTCTTGTTAATGGATCACCATCACTAGAGTTTTGCCCTCAAAAAGGTTTAAGGCAAGGTGATCCTTTATCCCCTTTCTTGTTTAATGTTGTAGCTGAGGGTCTGAATATACTCATATCAAGAGCTAAAGATATGGGTATGTTTAGAGGTATATCTGTAGGTGCCAATGGGTTGAATATATCTCACTTACAAGTTGCTGATGATACAGTGCTGTTTTGTGAGGCTGAAGGGTCACAAATTTTGGCTATAAAAAGAATCCTTAGGTGTTTTGAAGTAATTTTAGGACTAAGGATCAATTTTGCCAAAAGTGTTGTGTGTGGGGTGGGTGTGGCAGAAGTGGAGGTTGATGAGTTTGCAAGGAAATTGAATTGTCTAAGCACGAAATTACCATTGAAGTATCTAGGATTACCACTGGGAGCCAGCCCTAGCAGGAGCTTGACTTGGAGGCCAGTTGTAGAGTATTTCAAGAAAAAGTTAACTGGGTGGAAGAGAAGAGTGTTATCTTTTGCTGGTAGAGTCACACTCATTAAGTCCGTGTTGTCTGCTTTACCTGTGTATTACATGTCTCTTTTTAAAATACCTGTGTGTGTTGCAAAAGAGATGGATAGGATTCAAGCATCATTTTTGTGGGGCGACTCTGAGCGTAGCAGCAAGTTGCATTTAGTCAGGTGGAATGAAGTGTGCATGAGTGTGAAACAAGGAGGGCTGGGGATCAAAAACATCAGCTTAGCCAACGATAGTTTGCTTTTAAAATGGTGGTGGAGATATGGGCAAGAGGATGAGGCACTATGGAAGATGGTTATTTGCGAAAAGTATGGTTCAGTTGGGGTAGATGGTTCCCTGATAAGGATGTTCATGGTCCTATATCCTAGATTTGGAAAGACATCTTATCAGTGGCCCAGAGGAATGGCAGTATTCTCCAATTTTACAAGGATAATGTGGAAATCTTAATAGGTAATGGGCAAAGAATTAGTTTCTGGAGAGACAATTGGTTGGGTTCAACAAATCTTTTATGCCAATTTCCTAGATTATTCCAGTTGGTTATTGATAAAGAGATTTCCTTGAATGTTCAGGTAGCCAGAAGAGATAGTCAATCTAGGTGGTTTTTCAATTTCAAAAGACCACTTCGGGCTTGGGAAGAAGGCGAGTTGGTCAGATTAACCACTGCTCTGGGGTCAGGCCCTCTTCTAAGAAGTGATGTAGCTGACAGTTTGGGTTGGAAGGCTGCTCAGCCAGGTATTTTTAAGGTTAATGCTGTTTATGCTTGGGGTATGCTCAATGATGGTCCTACTCACAGATCAGTTGATCTTATCTGGAATAATTTTTCCCCACCTAAAGCAAAAATTTTTTCTTGGTTAGCTTGGAGAGGAAGACTGAAAACCAAAGATTTGCTTCATAGGTTTGGAATTCTAGAGGGGGAAGAAGTCCTTAATTGTATATTCTGTCATGAGGTCAGAGAATCTCTTGACCATGTTATGCTTCATTGTTCTTTTACTTGGAAAATTTGGTCTGCTATTATCGATTGGTGGGGTATTCAATGGGTTATTCCCAAATCCATAGATGGTCTTTTAATCTGGTGGATGGGTTGGAAGTTTAGGAAAAAAGTAAATCTGGTGTGGAAGACCCTTCCAGCAGCAGTGTTGTGGTCTGTGTGGAGTTATAGAAATAAGTGTGTGTTTAAGGCAGTCCAACCCAATTTTCAGGCCCTGTGTGAATGTATCAAGGTGAGGTTAGCAATTTGGATAAGATCTCAGTTCAGGGATGCTTCATTTTCAGTCAATGATGTCGTGTTTAATTTTTCACAAGTCAGGTGTTGTCTAGGATCTCAGTTGGTGAATTTTGTTCTGTTTTGTCGCTAATAGACTGGCTCATAGGTTGTTACCTATTAGGTAGACTGCTGTTGTGTTGTTGTATTGAGAGATTTTGGGTGCTTTTGTTGCTGCTAGGGATTTCAGTCCATCAGAGCAGCCACCTTTCTGATACATAGGTAGATGCAGGTCAAGTTCTGCTGGTTGCAAGTGTTGCTGGCTGAAGGGGGTGCCCTGTTTGTTTGTGTTTTTCCTCTGATCCCATGTAGTTGTGTTGTTAGTCAGCTTTGTGAATTGGCCATTGTTGCTGCACAATTCTGGTTTTGGCTGCATAATTCTGTGCTGCTAGTTGGCTATAAAATTCTGTTCTTCACTGATGTTAGCTGGCTGCTAATGGAGTATTCAACAATTTGCTGGAAGGATTGCTTCCCTTCTTCTGAACAGTTGGCTGATGTTGATCTGTCTGGGCATGTTGGACCTGATCTGCTGTAGTGTAGAATGCTGAAAAGGAGTAAATTTGTGCTGAACTGCAACTGATGGTGAAAAGGAGTATTTTTGTACTACTTCTGGAGCAGTTTGTTCTAACGGTTGCTGTCTGGGCAGTTTGGATTTGGGTTGCACTAGGAGAGTGCAACAGTTTTGGGCCACAAAAGTTTTATAGAAGTCTTGGCTTGGGTTTGCTGCTGGTGTGATTGGGTGGTTTGCTACAAATTGATGCAGTTTTGGGATACAAATTGGCAGATTTGGAAGGCTGTGTGATTGGGTGGTTTTTTATTTTAGTTTCTATTTCTTTGTTTTGGATTGGTTTCTTGCCAATCTGTGGGTTTAGTGCTAGCAGATGATTGTGCTTCCTCCTTGGTGCCAACCTCGTTGGGATTGTGGAGTGTTAGCTATGATGCTTTTTGCACTTCCCTCATTTATTGATGTATTTTGTTGCTTGTTTTTGCTCATTTCATCAATAAAGTTTCCTTTTCTTTGCTGATAAAAAAAATGAGTTTTTTCCCCCCCCCCCAAATTTTATCCATGTGTGAAATTACCTTTAAGGACAAAACACTAAAATTAAATATATTTTGTTATCTCCTTACACCCCTTAATCTTCAATCCCTACTTCTCTTTTTTCCTTTATTAATTTTTCTTTTCTCTTACGCATCTTTTTTGAAAAAGTGAGAATCATAGTATTTTGATCATTAAAGAAAGCAATGGATGAAGAAACGGTGGTGAAGAACCATCAAAAAAGTAAAATGGTGAGTTTTTTTTTTATTTATTTGGTAGGTTTTTGTTTCATTTATCTGGACTGGTGTTCAACTTTCGTTCGGTGGTTCGAAATCGAACAAAATAAAATAGTATGGCATCACATTGCCGAACAAAAAATGTAAGTCCGGTAACCAACTACCAAATAAAAGATACATTTTCGATAACCCCAAACTGAATTTTTTTAATTTGTTCGGCTTCTCATTACTATGTATTTTTAGTTTCATTTTTTTATATTTTTTACTTTATTTCCTAGAAGGATATACTTATACTCATTGCAACAACGCAAGTACTGCAATATTAGTGGACTTTAGTCATGAATTTATTACAGATGAGATTTGTTAAGTTTTTTTATGAATGCGATTTTTTTTTTTAATTTGTATTAAGTTTTATTAATAATTTAACGTATAAATGTATTTATTATCTTTAGATTTTTAGTAGTCATGAAGCATTAATTAAATGGGCTTCTGACGTTGGGAAGGAGACTGGATTTGTCATTGTTATAAAGACATCAGATGCGGGAGGCAATGGCAGAAAACCAAGGCTTACATTTGCTTGAGAAAATAAGTGGTTACTATAGAGACAACAGGAAGATCAAGGGGGGAACGATTGAGGTAGACATGTTCTAAAAAGTGTGAATGTCTATTTCTAGTAAGGGAGAAAAATACCTACAAATTACCAAGACGAATTGTGATAACATGTTTGATTGATGGATACAAACAATGACAGATTTTATGGGTATTCGTGCACTTGATATTTTTATGGATAATTTTACGGATACTTTTTATGTATGATTTTATGGATGCGTGTTTGATTTATGAATTTTTTTATGGATGCTTCAAGGAAAAAGTAAATCTTTCAATGTACAGCGACGGGGGCCTAGACAACTCTATTGTAGTTTGGCAACATGACACTAGAGAGTAATCCCATTTGTATAATAATGTATCACTGAACAGGCACTTTACAAGTGGCCCAAATTAATTTCTTGTTATCATCTAATTGGATGGCAACATAATGCTGAGAAAAAAAATATTGTCTGGTAATATAGCACTAGAGTAATTTAAATTAATTAGCGTTGTATTACCGAACAAGCCCACCACAAATTAAAAAATCATTATTTGGAAGAAAGTGGCTCTGTAAATGTATAGTAACAAAACGCTGTAGAGATCTATTTTTTCCGGCAGCATAACACCGAAATAATGTATATTATTTAGCATCGTGTTTTCAAAATTAGTGATGTAAAGAGATGAAATAGTTAATTTAGGGTTAATTTTGGTAATATATTGGGGGTGTAATGAGAATTACATTTTTTATAGTGGTGTAATGAGATGGAGAGTGTAAAGAGGTTAAATAGTGGTTTACGTAGAATCACCCTTATTTTTTTCCTTTCCCAATCCAACTCCCAGAAGTCTCTTTTGCAATTTTTCAGAACTTCCTCGATGGAAATTCTGAGTAAATTAATTAATCAAACTCATGTCTTTCTAATTATTATTTGAATTAGGGATTAATTTGATCCTTGTTATCCCACACTAGGAAAAATGGGATCCATTGTCTGCATTCCCGTTGATATCTCCACTCTTGCTCTCTACCCTTCGCCTCCGCCACTGCCGCCAGTAGTAGTTTTTTTCTTTTTCTCTCTCTCTCTAGGGTTTAAGCTAGTGGAGAAGAAGGGTGTTGCATAGCTCAAAAGAATCTATATAGATAAAATGTAGTATTCCCTTTTGTGCTCACTCTGTCAGTGCCCACAACCACCTTCCCATCCATTTAAAGAAACTATCTTTTATCCCCCTATACTATAGACAAATTTGGATGGACTATTTCTAATTAGACTATATGAATTGAAATTAAAAATAATAATAATAATTTTGAGACAACTGATTGTGGTAGATTTATAGTGCTTGGAATCTATACTTTTGTTGTGTTCTTTATAAAAATATGTTGTTAATTTATTGTCTTGTATTAAGGATGAGGAAAGCTGAAGTGAATTCAATTGATCTGCCTAAACTTTGTAATTGGGCCTCGAGCATGGTCATTGCTATAGTCACTGAATTTTGAATAGGACTGTACTTCAAATCTCAGAACAACTTCATTTTTCAATATGGATTGAATGAAACTATAATATACGAACTATGAACCTCAAACATTCCATATTGAGGAAAATTTTCTTTGATGTCTTGTAGTTTTTTGGGAATTGTAGTCAGAAGATGGTGGAGTTCTTGCAGAGTTCAGTGGGAATTATTCATAGAAACCATGCTGAGAGAGTATTGCTACTTTTATCAAAGAGATTATGGACGAAGAGTTAAAAGGACAGTTCCAATTCTGATGTGCAGCCAACGGCTAAGAAAAGTGTCAGGATGTTGGACTCGATCACTTCAGTATCTTAGACTCTTTTTATGCTGAGCCACAAAGGTATGCATATATACCTTCCAAAACTATGTTTGTTTGTTACTAGAGTCAGCCGGAGTCGTCTGGTGGAATTAAGCCCCTCAAGTCAGTAATCTTTTATTTCTTTATGTAATGTGTCTCTTCTAACATATGTATTTTTGAATTTTGATTCTTTGTAGCATATGACAAGGCATATTTGGCTCAATTGAGATCTTCAAAAACACCCATAGCAAGATTTTGTTTTTACATATTTTCCTTTGTTTCCAATGCAATATAGAGCTTATATAACATGATAGTTTGATTGTCACATATATATGTCCTGGTGGGACTCCTAGTGCTAGTGCTAGTGCTAGTGCTAGTAGTGCATGAGTCTATATTACACAGAGTTACCATGACTAAAAGGAAAATTATAATAATGTCAAACAAAGCTACAAAACAAATAATTTTTGATACATGGACATGCAATTTCAAGGAAAAGTCAAGATACAACAAAATGATAGTTTTAATTTAACAGGAACAAATATTGGTAATCCCAAGCACGCAATCTTAGCTAGAAACATAACATCCCACATGAACATATGTTTGATATAATACAATCTTACCAAAGGAGGAAAGTGGCAGTTACTTATCAAGCAATGGATTAAAGTTTGCTGAGGCAACAATAACATAAAGCTACCACTAGTATTCTACTGGCTGTTGAAGTAGCATATTGTTGAGGTAACCATTTATGGAGGACCTTGGAAGTAACCTTGATCAACAAAAAAATAAACATGCTTTAGTTCACTTTAAGCTACTACCTAAAAAAAAAAAAAAAAAAAAAAAAAACTTTAATCTACTAACTCATATTTGCTACATGAATTGATTAGAATGAAAAAAGAAAAAGAAAATGAGAAAATGAAATTGAGATGCTTCAATAGAGAGAAAGATGTATTTTGGTAGAGTAATGTTATACACACACGAATTTTTCATCAGATTTTCTTACCACCAGTCACAAATTAGTAAGGGCCATATTAATAAATATAGGCAAAATTCATGTCTCTGTGTATAGTGCTAAGAAATTCAAATAATTTTTTTTTTTTTTTTGAGTTTAGCATTTTCTATTTTAGTATGCATATGCATAGGTCAAGAGGGTATGCTACACACCTTTGGTTTTCATGTTGCAAAACCTCTTCCAACTTCCTAGTCTTGGTTCAACCCTTCATTCATGTAAGTATTTTTTATCTTACACAATTCACTAATAACACTCCCCATTTCCATCCGATCTCTTGGCGATTCCATTGAACATGCAACCCCAATTCGTAGAATAAAAACCATGCAGTCTTTAATCCACCTTTTTGTGTTATGCTCCAATAGGATGCAAGGATCCACAATCTCCATCACTCGATCAGGCAATGCATTCTTAACGAAGTTATGAAGATTTAGATGATCCTTAAACATATCGTCAGTTGGTTTCTTACCTGTAAACATCTCTAGTAAAAGAATCCCAAAGCTGTATACATCCCCTAGTGTGGAAGCCATGTCCCCCATGCCATACTCTGCAAATTGTTTCCAATGTTAGTGTGAAAAATGAGTCCAGTTAGTTGGCATAGTTGTAATCTCAATAGATGTATTTAATAATTTTTTTAATGAAACTCAACAAACTTTTTAATGCTCTGATGTCCTTAATTCTGTCCCCCTCAATTACAATATTTTTGTTTGTGTTTGCAACTGACTAGGTGAGCAATTGTTGAGAATCACATAGTTTGATTGTATTTTTCTATTGAAGGAAACAAAAATTAGTCTTGCATGAGATATTCCGTCAGAATCAACTATACAAGTTTCCAATCAATGAGTAAGTTTTTAGAAAATGCTTTGGTAGCAAACTAGTATATTAATTCTTTCCACTAGTAGATACCATGGACTATTTTGATCAGACTAAAATTTCATACTATAATTACATAAAGAATATTTATAAAGAAAAAAAAAAAAAAACAGAGGAGGCACAAACGATTAACACAAGTCTTTCGTAGCCAAGTTTAAGCATGGCCACATTAAATGATATATACTTCAATGGTAATATTTATACTAAGATTAAGGACGACCACATTAAACAAAGTAAACTTAGTACTTGGTTTGCTAACGGTGAGGAGGTGGAAGCACACATTAGAAGCATTCATAAATGGCATGGAATCTGCATAAAAATAATGATTAAAACCATGTAGGTGCCCACTATTTCGTAGAAGCCATGGTTTGTGTGTTTATGCCGAAATGTATTCATGTGTGTGTATATATATATATTATATTTTTCCTATTGCAAGTTCAGTTTTTCTACTCCAAGGAAATTGAAAAGATTTTCTACCTGGAGCAACATAGCCTATGGTTCCCCTTATTGCAACTGAATTGCTTTGACCATGTGCCACATCACTTGAAATAGCAGAAATAATTTTTGCCAACCCAAAATCTCCAATATGGGCTGTCATCTCATCATCCAAAAGAACATTACTTGGCTTTAGATCACCATGAATAATTGTCGACTCACAACCACAATGAAGATACTCTAGTGTAGAGGCAATATCCGTTGAAATGTCCAACTTCTGGATTAGTTTAAGATTTCTAGGTTCCTCTAGTTGCTCATGGTCTCCAACTCTGACTTGATGCAACCAATTGCCCAAGTTTCCATTGGCCATAAATTCATATACCAAAGCTTTGAACTCATTACCATGGAAATCCACACTGGAACAAATGCTCAAAATTTTCAAAAGATTCCGGTGCCTTATGGCTCTTAGTGCTTTGCATTCTGACATGAAGCTCTTAGAAGCTCCTCTGGTCTGAAGATTGAACACTTTCACTGCAACAACCATTTGAACGTGATCAAGAACCCCTTTGTAAACTGAAGCATAACTCCCAACACCAACTAGATTAGCCTCTGAGAATCCATTGGTGGCTTTGAGAAGCTCTGCATAAGAAACCCTAAAAAATTGATGTTTGATTGATGGCGTGCTAGAGGTCTTTTTTGAAACATGACGCCGTTGAAGAAATATAAAGAAGCTAACAAACAAAGATAAAAATATCAGAAGACCAACCACTGGTAGGATCACTTTCATCCCATGAGATAGCTTCTTGTTGCTTGATTTGGATGGTGGACAAGGAGGAAGGTCTAATTTTGCAATACCTCCACATAACTCATTATTTCCAACAATTGAAATTGCACTCCCATTTTGAAACACTCCTTGTATTGGAACTTCTCCATGTAGCCTATTAAAAGATAAATTCAACATATCTAGTCGAAGCTCACCTAGATAACTTGGGATCTTCCCTGACAAATTGTTCTGTGAAAGATCCAACATTCTTAAGCCCCTCAACATTCTCAAACTTTGAGGTATCTCTCCTTCAAATGAATTGGCCTCCAAGTAAAGCCACTCCAGACTCAAACAATTGCTTAGAGTGTTTGGTATGGGTCCCGATAATTTATTATAGGACACATCCATGTTTGCAAGGTTTTTCAAAGACCCGATTTCTGATGGAAGAAAACCGGTTAGTGCATTGTGATCTAATGTGAGGGATGTTGAAATGGAGGAGAGACTCATAATTTCAGGGGGTATTGAACCATTGAAATTATTTTTATAAAGGTCTAATTCCAACAAGCTATGACAATTGCCCAAAGTCGGAGGTATGCTTCCATGGATGTTGTTTTCTCCCAAGTTGAGAGAAATCAACGAAGTCAAATTACCAATCGAAGATGGAAGTTCTGTGAATTTGTTCTGGTGTAAGAACATAATACACAGCTTATGAAGTCTGCCAATGGAGGATGGAATAGGGCCAGCAAGATTATTCATTTCCATAGATAAGGTAGTGAGGTTGAGGAGGTTCCCGATGCTAGATGGAATGATTCCATGTATTTGATTTAACGGCAAATTTATCATGTTAAGATATGTGGAGAGATTAGCTATGGAGTCAGGCAATGAACCTCTAAAAAGATTGTCACCCGCATCAATAACTTGTAAACTGGTGCAATTTGTTAGAGACGAAATAAAAGATAAGTCATCCTGCAACCGATTTTGATGAACAGTTATAATTCTGAGACCCAGAAGTTTTCCAAGATCTCTTGGCATTGTCCCGCTGAAATCATTTGCACATAATTCTATCGATTTGAGATCCGAAGCATTTGACAGTGAAGTAGGAATTGTTCCGGTAAACGAATTGACGCAAAAATAAAGCAACTTGAGATTAGGAAGTGTGGAGCCTATATCAGGAGGAATATTTCCTTCAAGTTGGTTAGCAGCTACTGATAACAAAATGATGGTGGAGATATTGTAAAGACTAGATGGAACCTTGCCAGATAGGTTATTCGCAGATAACCAGACAAATATCAGGCGTCGAAGCCTAGCAATTTCCCCCGGAATCTGCCCATGCAAATTACATTCCGATAAATCGAGATAGGAAAGAGATGAGAGGTTTCCAATGGAAGGAGGGATGGTACCTGAAATCTTGTTTGTATACAAGGCTAAAGTTCGAAGCCTTGACAAAGAGCCCAACTCAGTTGGGATGTTTCCGGTTAGGTTGTTGTGGGTGAAGTTGAGCCGTTCAAGTCTTGAGCACCGAGAAAGGTTGTTGGGTATTCCACCGCCAAACAAATTGTAGCTGAATTCTATTGTTTGTAGCCGAAACAAGCGACCCATCTCCTGTGGGATTGGGCCGTGGAAGCTATTGTTGTGAAGAATGATACTTTTGAGGAAGGAGAGGTTTCCTATATGAGGTGAGAGCGATCCAACCAGGCCTTGGGACATTAGAGTTAGCCCAATAACTCTCTCAGGATGCAGACGACTACACAAAATGCCGTTCCAGTGGCAGTAGTAGAGTGAATGATTCCAGGAAGAGAGGGCACCAAATGGGTCTTCAACAATTGCAGCCTTGAAGGCGAGCAATGCAACTCTATCTGCCTCATTATTTGCCACAGAAGTGGCAGCAGGGATACTGCAGAAATAGCAACACCACACAAGGGCAGTGCAGAGCACAGTAAGCCACTTTGACATGATTGTTTTTTTGTAATGGACGAGTCGATTATTTCATCAAGGTGGTATATAATCCATCCATCTATCCATCTATTATATAAAGTAAGTTTTTGTGAGGAATATTGTGAAAATTTCAAAATTTCATAATAAATTTGTAAATTTATTGAATTAAAAAATATATTTAAAAAGTAGTATTGACTAATCCATTAAAGTAATAGTTTTTAAAATATTAATAATTTCATAATTTATAATTTCAAAAGAAAAGATTAAAAAATATATATATTTCATATCTTTCCAACGTAATCCTTTCCCATTGATTTTTATTTCCTTTAAAAAACATTTAAACATGTTTCTTACTATATTACTATATTATTCATACCATATATAATTACTCTCAAAATTTTAAAATTCATGATAAAAATTAGGAACTTTCAAAATATTTTGATTTAATTACACATATTTAATTTCTTTTGCACATTTATTTTCTTTTTTAATTTGTTTTCTACACTCATATGTACTAATATTTATGCCTAAACTATAAATTGTTTAATACATATGATGGCTGAGAAAAGAAATTTGTGTATATGATTATAAGCACCCTTTATATTAGCCTCATTCATTGATTTTTTTTCTTCTTCTATATCTCATCAATTAATTCTTTGGTCAATGAATTTTCACACTACTAAAAAATAATTTTTTTAGTGTTTTTTTGAATGGTAATTTCATTTTACAAATAATTAATTATTTTAAAAATATTAAAACATTTTACATGAAAATTTGTATTAAATAAAATTTAAATTGAAAATTATGATTTGTTTTGATATTTCACTTCTTTGATCAAGTTCTATGCTAAAAATAAAATTTATGAACTAACTTAATCTGATCTTAAATAATTCTTTCATATGTAAATATAATTTAATATTAGAAATATTTTAAGAATAAATATATAATTTCTTAATTGAAGTTTTAGAATATTAATAAATATGCCAAATATATATATTCATGATATTTTTTATTTTGTTTATAAAAGATTTTACAAAATTTTTACCATTTTAAAAAATAAATAAGTGGGCAATGTGATGGTTGGGCATGAACCAAAACAATTATCTAAAACTTGGATTGACTATATAGCATTAGGGGTGTGTGCGGTGTGGTTCGGGCGATTTGAGAGTAAAATTATAAATCGAATGGCGAATTGGCAAATTGCGATTTGGGCAGTTTTTGGCGGATTGGCGAATTGAAGAATATTCTAACTAATTATCATACATTTGCATAATATATCACACTAATTTGTATAATATTTTTTAGATATATAACACAAAGTAATTTTACATAATATGTTTCATA